TTGCCGTAGATGTCGCAACCCGTCGCCTCGGACGCGGCCCGCAGCCTGATCAGCGGTGTGTTGCCGATGCTATCGATGAAACCCGACCGGACGTTCATGAACTGCTCACCTTGCCTGACCCTGCGCTTCCCGGGCGCGACGGTAGACAGGGAGCAGGGGGCCACGCAACCTGCGCTTTCGCCTTCTACCGCCAGCGGTTTCGCATCTCGTCGCGATGCAGCGCGAGCCACTGCAACGCCATTACGGCGACCGCATTGTCGACCTCGTCTTGGTCGAGCAGGGCGCGGGCCTCGGCGAACGGCATGGCTTTCACGAGGATGTTCTCGTTCTCCGATTCCAGCCCGAAGATGCCGCCGACGCCGGTCGTGTCGACACGCCCGATGAAGCTGCTGCAGACCTCGGAGCAGGCGCCCGGACTGAGCATCACGCTGTGTATGGGAAGGAGGTCGAGTATCTCCACCGACGCCTCCTCGGTCGCCTCGCGACGGGCGACATCCGGGGGCGTCTCGCCTTCCTCTATGACCCCGGCGACGATCTCCCAGCTCCAGGGATGGCGGTTCGCGGCGAAAGTGCCGGCGCGGAACTGCCGGATCAGCACGACCTCGTCGCGGACAGGGTCGTAGGGCAGCACCGCAGCGACCTGCCCGCGCTCGAAGACCTCGCGCTTCACCTCGCCGCTCTGACCTCCCTGGTACAGGCTGTGCCGGAACAGGTAACGGGCAATGCGGAAATAGCCCTGGAAGGCCACGGTGCGTTCGATCAGTTCGGCCTTTTCGCCGGGCAGAGGGACGGTCGGCATGATGCACTCCACAAGCAAAAAGGGCCGTCCTCTTTCGAGAACGGCCCCAATTGGCTCCGGAGGTAGGAATCGAACCTACGGCCAGGCGATTAACAGTCGCCTGCTCTACCGCTGAGCTACTCCGGAATAAACTCGGTACGACGGCGGTACGTCGGCCGCGAAGGCGCGGTCTTGTGACAGAGCATGTCGGATCATGCAAGACCACTTGTGCATTCGTGGAGGCCCGGGCCGGAGTCGAACCGGCCTGGAAGGATTTGCAGTCCTCTGCATAGCCGCTTTGCTACCGGGCCGCACGAAAGCGCGCGGTGCTATACTCATGGTGCAACGGGCGGGTCAAGCCGGGCGCGACGCGGCGGCCTTTGACGCTGTCGTCGGCTGACGCCTATATAGCGACCGCTACATCTAGGGGGCAGCCTATGACGGATTTCGCGCTCGCGCGCCGCAACATGGTGGAAGGCCAGCTCCGGCCGAACCGGGTCAATAATGCCGGGTTGCTGGCGATCCTGGCCGACCTTCCGCGGGAACGCTTCCTGCCGGAAGCGCTGCGCTCTGTCGCCTATGCCGACGACGATGTGCCCCTGGGCAACGGCCGCTACATGATGGAACCGATGGTCCTGGCCCGCCTGATCCAGATCCTGCAGCCGCAGGCCGAGGACAAGGCGATGGTCGCGGCGTCCGGGCTGGGTTACG